CTTCATCAGCTCAGTATTCATATAACATGTTTCTCTCTTTATATGTTAATGTAGTTGTCATTTAATATATGAAAATAATATACAACATAGAATATAATATGGAAAAGAGGATGTTATGCTTGTTCCTGTAGCTTACGTGAAAGCTTCTACAGCAACACCTGATGGTTTCTTAGAAACGCAGCAAACGGCGTTACGCGTCCATAAAACAATATACAAAAACAGTATATAGTGGAATGAGCAGCACATCTGTATAGCAACTATGAGCCATGGTCAATGCTAAGCAGGACATACATCATACTAAAGGCAGCAGTTTCGAGTGTAGACGTAAGAGCAATTGCCATTGATGACGACAGTACAGTTTGTTATCTCCTTGATTATGTTCCCTCAGTATCACCATCATCCATCGTGTACAGAACACTATCACACCTCTTCATGGCTACATCTCATTACACACACATGTGTGCGTAACATACTGGCATAGTATTTTGAATATCTTCAATTATTTTCAGGAAAATCAATGTCTTTAAGGTATCATACCTGTGATTGTCAGCGGGTGTGAAAACCTGAGACTTGTACACATTATATAATAACTATTTTGTTATCTGTGTATTATTACGAGGATCACCCAATAAGTATTATTAATTGCAAACAGGCACTCTTCACAAAATAACATAGCAGTATATTTGTCCACATGTCTACCTTAATAAAATATAATGTTTCTTTTAACATCTCCTGATTTTCAAGTCATTGAACAATGGTTTCCATAATGTGTCAGCATAATTAATGCGTCCTTGTACTACTTCAGTCATCTAACTGCCGCCTGACTCCTTCAACGATAGGCCCCCACGTAGCCACTGTCGTCTGGGACGTCCGCGCGCAAAAAAAACCGAACCATAAAAATACCAATATTATACCATAAACTATATTAGGCCTAGACATCGTCAAAAAAAAAGAAAAAAAAAACCGTTACCACTAATGAGTGATAGACTCCAGTAGTAATATGAATGAAGATGTCAGTCAAGAAAAAAAAAATAAAAAAAAAAAAAAAAAAAAGCTGTCCCACTGCTGCTAACCTTTGACAACAAACTTTCTAAAAACAATAGAAGAGTAACAAAGTGGTAATTCAATCAAACACACACAATGCGTCTTTTCTACTCATATTTATTTTATTATTCATCTTATATTAACAGGGACAGTGCACATGAATCAACATTTCTGTAAATGTGCCAGAGTTAGCCAAGAGGCTATCTTTCATCTGTAGTCCCTGGACAGATTTTGTAAGTCACCCTAAAGACACATTTCAAATTGCTATATTTATAAAGTGTCAAAATAACCAAATTATATTGTTATATTGCTTTGGCACCGTCCAGTGGTTTAACCAATAATGGCTCCAGCAGAAAACAATGCACATTACTGTTTTTGCCATGGCACAGATCTGGTAAGATATGTAAACTTCATAAACAAAGATTGAAGTCCTTCTAGTTTATTACCTTAAACTTACTTAATTTGTTGGTTGTTTATTTTAGTGGGGGTTGTGTCAAGAAAGCAACGTAGGCAGTTGCATTGTTGAAAGGTGAGGTGTGTGGAGGTTAGATCTGATTAAATACTCACAGTGACTCCGATGTTGGCAGGCTCCTTGCCAACAATGAGACTATAGAGCTGCTGAAGAGACTCCTCTTTCCCTTTAAAACGTTTGGGAGCCAACTCTGTCAGGGCCTGGTTGAACTGCTCAAATGTGATTACACGAGCTGACTTGGCCCTGAGGAAAAAAAAAACAGGTTTCCAAATGTTTTCTAAATAAAAGTAACAAAATGATATAAATCATGTGTTGTGCCTATTATTGAAATGCCATTAGGCTATAAAGGAAGGGGGCTACAGTAGCTATAGATACTCATATTGCCAAGAGGATCAATCGATGACCCCCTGACTGTTTCCTCTGCACCACCAATGAGGTTAGCATGCAGGGGTTTTGTGAAATGCTTTTATTTAACATTGAATGGATTCCCATGAAATGTAGTATAAAAATGGTGTCGAGAGGATGAATTGACTTTGATGATATCCCACCTCCCATCCAGCATCCTGGGGTCATCAGGTACATATTTGTATTTGCTCCATAGTTTGGTTTACGACCAAAACTACCATCTTTCTTAGCATGCTAAGATTAGTATAGATGCATTTGTTTTAGTAACAAAACTAATTAGTGACTGCATATTTGTTTGCAGTTCATGCTGGCATATGCACATCTTGGCTGTTTTAGCTGTGCATAGTTGGGCTTGACTGAAATCGTACTTGTTTTTGCTGAAAACGATGTCAACATCTGTAGTGGTGACGTTCTTGGCATCGATGATTTTGCAGTCCTTGCAGAGCTTAACAAAGTTTTTGCCGTTCATCTCTTTCCCTGTGGCCTTACTGTCTCCATGGACCGCAAACTTCTGGAAGGCGGTCTCCACCTCTGCTACTGACACTGTGCCCTCAGCCATACTGACAAATATACATACAAAATACATAATGTTCACATATCAGTATAAAAAGCTCATAAAAAAGATGAGAAAACGCCCTAACATAGCTGATGTTCACTTCCTATCCTTGTGAGGACATTTTGTAAAATTAAAGAACATAAATTCATGATGACTGAATTAGCTGATTGGTAGTCAGCTTGCCAAGAAATGGCTTCCATTAAGGTCAGTCTAAGTGAACGTTTCACTCTCTCTCTCTCTCTCTCTCTCTCTCACACACACACACACACACACACACACACACACACACACACACACACACACACACACACACACACACACACACACACACACACACACACATACACAATAAACGCAGACACACTTTCACATCCATCATTCATGTTCGTGTTACTCAAGCTGCTCTCAGGCCAATTTCATTAAATCAACTCAATTTCCAAATGGCTCCTCTGCTGTTCATTCTGAACATGTTCCTTCTCTTTCTGTTCTCCTCTTCTCTCACATACAGACAAACGCACACCGACACATACTTGTCCATAACTTGTATCTGCTTTTTGCTAATATTTACGATTTACATTTGGTTAGGTTGAGCAATAAACAGAGAGATAAAAAACAGATGTATGCAGAAATAAAAAAACATTTGACCTTTAGTTCAATAAATATAAAACATGTTCGTAAATGTTACTGAGGTTCAGTTTGGCATTTTGGCATCGTTTTATGTACTTTTGTAAATTACATTGACTCTTTTTGAAAATTGAATATTATGTTATTATTAGATTCACTGCATCTAAAGAAATCTCCTCAGAAATATAACAAATTGATTGTCATTCCTGAGGCTTGAAATAAGACATCTAGTGCATCTGTTAAATATTTAGTCATGCTCATTTGTTTTTGCTGCCGTTCAAATTGCCGTGTTGTTTTATTAGCTGCTCTGAACGGTGATTCTGAAAAGAGAGAGTAAAGCGTACCTGCTGCCGTGAACTGAAGGATGCTCTCAAAATATTCAGGGAAATCCTGATTCGCGTGGAGCTGCTCGACCTCTTCGTCTTCCTCCTCCTTCTTCTTCTTCTTCTTCTTTCTTCTCTTCCGCTACTTCCTCCTGCCACTCCCAGGCTTTCTCACAATGACGACACGGATGGAGAGATACAGAGAGGGAATAGGAGAGAGGGAAGGGGGAGGGGGGAGGGAGAGAGTACCGACCAGCACAATGACATCATGGGCACTCAGCTCTCATTAGCTCTTCGCACTGAGCACAGACTCCGTGGATAGATTTATCATCTTCCTTTCAATTAACTCGTTTATTCATTTTGTCTCATATATTTCAAATGTCCTCTTGTAAAGTTCTGGGGCAGGTGCTTCATCATTTAAGATTAGTACACTATCCATTCATCCCTCTATACACAACTCATCACTATCTGTCATGCCCGCTCTCCATTGTTCTCCCAACCTCTTTCTTTCTCTCTTACTGTCATTGCCACAAGAGCACTCTTGTCTGGATAAAGATGAGAGCGGCCTTTCAAAGGACAAAGAGTACTGACAGCATGAAGCTGACACACTACAGGAAAGATTATCCCTTCTCTTTGCTTGATATCAATCAAACTGAATACAAATACAAATGTTCCACACTGATGATATACTGTAGTGTGATCTAGATCTTGATCCTATTCCTGCATAATCATGTATATGCGACAACTGTAAAACACTTAAACAATACTCTTCCTTTAGTACTTACTAACTATCGACAACTATTTTACTAAACATCATCGTGGCATTATTTCCATCTACAGTAATTGATAGAGCATACTATTCTTACTAAGTAAATATGGTAGTCATTGAAGGTGACTGACATTTGGAAACATCAATCACTCCACAAGTACTCATTTGCATTAGTTATTCATTAAATCATCATTGCTTTAAATAAAAACATATATATATATTTGTATAATATTGTTTCAGTAATGTCAGTATGGCACTGCCTTGTTTTGATTGTTTTTCAGGTTTTCAATGTGCCCCTGTGGTTACCCACATGGGATGTTCAGATGCACGGATGTTCAGATATTTGTTTACAGGATAAACAACACATGTTTTGACATCATGCACCACCATGAAACTCGCTGTGCAGTCAAATGGAAAACACAAATCACTTACTGGTTTCTGAGTGCTGTGTTTTTATGCAATTGGCAAGCACCTTGTGCTGACATTAGATGGTATGATGAACCTTGTTTTGTAAATGTATAACATTTTGATGCTAAAATGGGATAAAGTGCTAAAGGTCATTCACATTTGAGTACAACATAAATATAAATGGTGGAACATGTTGACACCTCTTAAATAGGATTTTTCCACCAAGGAAGTTACGTTTTTGGTTCAGTTTGGTTTTGGTTGTTGGTTTCTCAGCAGGATCACGGATAAAAGCCACTGGCATGATATGTCATAATTTCCTTGGTGGATAAGTCTAAACGGGCAAAGGGAGAAACCATTCAATGTTTGAGTTGATCATAATTCTTTAGTTATGGAAAGCTCCTTAGCACCGGTCTGCACTTTAGGGTTGTCTAGGTTTTAGTTTTTCTTTGCTGACAACTTGACCTTACTTTGTGAGTCAACCTGACATTCTTGTTTGTTTAGCAGATTCCATCATGGTTGCAGACCTCGGTACTTTCACTGAGATACTTGGAAAAGTGTTCTGTGGGAAGACATCACCTTGTGTTTACACTATAAACAAAGCCTTCCCTTCAATAAATATCACCAGAGAACAGCATTGTCTCTGGTTTGCAATGAAATTGTCGAATCACAGTAACCTGTGCATGGACTCTCTCTGGACCTAAGACACAACTTTATTTACCATCGCTTTGCACACTAAGTGATATTATTTTTGGGGGTTTGACCTCGGAGACAAATCAAGTTCATCTAATATTTGTCTGAATCAACATCATCATGGCTGAGTCTGGTTTCCCTTTACCACCAGAGGACTTCTGTGCACTGTGTGCGGACACACTAAGAGACCCGGTCACCATCCCCTGTGGAGATACCTACTGCCTGGAGTGCATCACGGTCTACTGGGACCAGTTTGACCACATGGGTGTGTACAGGTGCCCACAGTGTCGCGCCACCTATACACCACGGCCTGCGCTTAAACGAAATCTCCCCGACGTGAACAAAGAGACACCACGCCAGCTCCCGGAGCTCACTCCTTTCCCCTACATGCAACGAGAATCTTTCTGCGATTTCTGTGTCGGCCATCGCAAAAAGGCTGTTAAGTCTTGCCTCATGTGCTTGGCCTATTACTGCGAAACTCATGTCAAGCCACATTACGAGTCATCCACCTTCAAGAGACACAAGCTGGTCGATGAGATGGGCCACCTGGACAGGAAAATATGCCCCCAGCATGAGAAAGGCCTCGAGCTGTTCTGTCGCACGGACCAAATGTGTATCTGTGTGCTGTGTACGGTCAGAGAGCACCGGAGCCACAACATTACCTCAGCAGAAGAAGAGCGCAACGAAAAACAAGTGAGTCTTAATTCTAAGTTAGTCAAGCTTTGTGACTCTGCCTTTTATGCACTGAATAAGATGGATGACATACTATGGTTGACAGAAGCCATCTAATTGCTGTTCTTCCAACAGAAAGTCCTGGTGGTCACGCAGTCTGAGGTCCAGTACATCATTCAGGAGAGGATGAAGGAATTGCAGGAGCTCAGACATAATGTGGAAGTTCTCAAAGTAAGATTAGACATTTCCTGATTAAACATTACTGTTTTTGTACATTTAAAGATAGACATGTGATTTTAGATGATATACAATATGCACATATGAGGTATTTTACAATAGTGTCCATGATAAGAGCATTTTGTGTAGAATTGTCATTCATCATGTGGTCTTACATTTGAAAAATATGTTTTTCCCTGTCAGAGTGGTGCCCAGCGAGCACAGGCAGAAAGTGATAAGACCTTTCATGAAATGCTGCAGGCGGTGGAGCGCTGGAAGGCTGAAATCCATCAGATGATAACAGCCAACATGCAGTCTGCGATGTCGCAGGCTGAGGGCTACGTGGACCGTCTGGAGCAGGAGATACAGGAGCTACAGCGCAGAGACGCAGAGCTCCGGCAGATCCTCGAAACAGAGGACAACATTCACTTTCTGCAGGTGCCAAAAGATCTTTCTGGTTGTAAAAAATAAAAGTATTCTTGTCTTCGCACTTCTGGCCTGTTTGCACATAATTCAATCAAATATACACTTAATCTTGATGCTTTCTTTCCTAATAATGCTAACAGGACTATTATATTGCAAGGTATTTTACTTATATTGCTAAGGTTACGGTTCTTCAAGTAAAAGTGTAATGCATTTTACTTATTATATCTATTAAAAAGTCACTCTTTAGTCCGTCTTTTGGACTGTTTACTGGAGCCCCTATCTCCCGTTCAATAGAATTTTCCGACTCTGTGCATTCCTCCTGAGGCCATGGTGCCCAAAGTGCTCATCAACCCTCAGTTCTCCTTTGGAGAGATGAGCAAGACGGCCACGGAGATGAAGGAACATCTGGATGACATCTGTAAGAAGGAATTGAGCAAAATCTCCAAAACAGGTTTGTTTTTATTAGATCATTTTGACAAATATCTTTACGCTATGTCAACTTTAAAGCAGACCATTAACAGGCTAACATAATGCTGTATTTCCTTCACAGTTAGTGAAACCCCAGTGTACATACTTTTGCCAAGAAATGGAGACAAACGACTCAAAGGTACACATCTGTTTATTGAAAGATGCACAACTTTACCTATAAATACATGTGAGATTACATAGATGTTATATACAGAGCACAAGGACGATGCAGGTGTTTTACAGTTTTCAAACTTATATGATAATGTTATTCCTGTATCTCAAAATAATGTGGGTGTCCATGTTTTCATATCCATAGTTCCTTCCAGAGTTGATTTTCAGGAGCCAAAAACCAGGATGGACTTCTTAAGATGTGAGTAGCGTTCGTAGTTGAGTTCCTTGAAAACAACAATATGCTTTTATGTTTAGTAATGTAGTTTTATCAGGGTGTGACTTGTAATTTTAGACTAATTCTAAAGTTAGTCTTTAACTTGATCTGGTCTTGGTCAATACAAATAATAAATGTGCATTGTGTATGTATGTCTTTGCTCAGACACGTGCAAGATGTCCTTTGATCCAAACACGGTCTATAAAGAGCTGGTCCTGTCCGAGGGCAACCAGAAGGTCATGCGGAAGAAAGCAGTCCAGTTTCACCCAGATCATCCAGAACGCTTTGATGGTTACTCGCAGGTGTTGTGCAAGGAGGCTTTTACTGGTTTCAGGTTTTACTGGGAGGCAGAGTGGAGTGGCGAGTTTTCCATCGGGGTGGCCTACAAGAGCATCAGTCGCAAAGGGAAGAACTCGCACAGCCTGCTGGGCTACAACGACAAGTCCTGGAGTCTCCTCTGCTCCGATTCAGGCTACTCTGCCTGGCACAACAAAGTAGACAGAGGCCTTCCTGAAGCTCCCAGAGCCACACGGATTGGTGTGTACCTGGATTATGCCGGAAACACTGTGGCCTTTTACTCGGTATCAGAGACCATGGCACTGATCCACAGATTCAAAGCTCAGTTCAGTGAGCCTTTGTATGCTGGTTTTGGTGTGGGCTCGTCTGTAACCCTCTGCCAGCTAAAGAAAAATGCAAAGCCTTACTAAATTAAATAAATAAATGAGGGAAGTTAAATTCGATCGTGAAGGGTCAGAAGAACTAAAGCTGTCAACTGGATGAGAGAGAGAGAAAGCAGCAGAAAGTCATCAACAGCAAGACGAACAGATACAAAGCTGCTACCATCAAGAAAACCCTTTTATGTGAATTGGTATCCATACACTGGACAACGTAATCACTATCAGCCGAGAAACACAGCAACATGCCAGCTTGTACCTCAGAGCTTTACACCTGAGAAATATCAGAGTGGACGGGTGCAAGGTATTATTTCAGACAGATGGAGCTCTGCACAAGAGGACGTGTATTCAGGAATATTACATTCAAGAACGTAAATAGGTCTGAAATGAGACTGAGTGATAGTTGGTGGATGAGAAAATGCAATAAGCCCGAGACACAAAAGAAAATCTCAACCAAAATCTAATTTGAACTTAATCACAGGGTTTAAAAGCTGAAAATAAGTCGTCCATATTCTCTAAGCTAACATGATTTGCAAGAGAAATTATCTGAAGAAACAACGCTGCTTTACATGTTCGTCACAGACGTGAAAGCACGTCCATGGCCCTATTATGCAAACTTGCAGGTGTTGGAGGCAGTCAATAGTAAAACTACTAAATAAATGTTGGTGACCGCTATAATAAAAACATTAAGTGCAATAATAACAGTGTATATCATGACAGTTGACCTAAAACTTTAGTTTACATTTATTTCTATGGCAGCAATGCAAATTAAATACAAATATATAATGAGATTAAAGTCACATTTTCATTATGCATGGATATTATAGTATACTTTTTTATTCAGTTTTATTTTATTGTCTCTCTTCTGTACAGTATGTGCTAAATTATAAAATGGTATACAAACATACCGAATGTCAAATGTTAAAGGTAGGCTTCTTTTTTTTGGAAACGCAAACAGAAAAAAAAAAAAATGCATTTGCTTGAGCTTCATTTTTTTTTCATGACATACATTTTATTTTACTCTTTTGAGATGTTGCATTTTTATAGCATATTAAACTATACTCACTGCTCACTATATTATGATTATTTTATGTGACATATTTTTGCTATAATGTGTCTATGATTGTAATGGCATACTATATTATGGTTTCAAAAATCAGCTTGGAAACATGTTGAGCCCTATTATGATAAATAGGTTGGTTGATGCATAACATTTCCATGTATTCATCCTGTTTACTGATTGTTGTTTTGGATTGGATTTCATTGTTCAAACACCAACCAACGTCTGGAGCTGTGCCTCATTGCAGATCTGCTCTTCACTGCTGCTCGACCAGACTACTGCTCTCTGCTCAATACCAGGTTTGAATCAAGGATTGTATAGCTCTATATTTAAGGTGTTTGTTTCTTAAGTTATGTACAGTATGCTGTTGTTGTGCCAATTGTTGAGAAAGGTTAGTTGTTGACAAAGAGCCCATAGGCAAACATTTCATTTCAGTTTAAAATGTATTTTCTTTTTCTTCTTACAGACATAAAATGAACACGACAACCAGCAACCACAACACGACAACCAGCTCATACTTTGGGATACTAGAAATGGGTGCAGCTGCCTTTAACAACATTGTGGGTCTACCTTTGAATGTTTATATCCTGTGGCTGATAATGACGGGGACCAGAGAGACTTTGGCCTCAGACTTATTTTCTCTCAACGTGGCCATGTCTCAGATCCTTTTTGATTTATCATCTATCTGGTTTTTTGTTTTTGTAAAGTTAAATGTATTCTGGTCTTTAAAAGCCTATTTGTTTTCACGAGGCCTTTTCTATACAGCCCAACCTCTCTTCTTATGTTGCATCTGTGTTGAGTTCTATGCAGGGGTCATCTACCCCGTGTTGTTTCTCCGGTTTAAACCCCTGAGGTACAGAGTGGGCTGTTGTTGTGTTATCTGGCTTATTACCTTGGTTTTCTGTTTCTACTTGTTGTACTTTTTAGATCCTATATATCTTTTTGCATTTTTCATCCAATTTATTCTTATCTACTCAATAATTATTTTCTGCTGCTGCTCAGTTCTCAGGGCCCTGAAGCGGCCCGGGCCAGGAGAAAAAATCACAGAGAAGAAGAAGAGCAATAGAATGAAGAGAAGGGCCTTTAAAATTATTTTGTTTATCATGATTTCCTTTGGCATCAACTTTTTTTTTTACATCGCTGTAATTCCAATGCAACTTAGCTTGAATATTGGGGACTTTGCAGATGCTCTAACAATAAGCACCTTGTTGGGTTTAATGACCGGGTTTATACAACCTCTCCTCTACCTCCACAGGGCTGGAAAACTTCTTTGTTGCAGGGGACTCTAATGATCACTTTTAATGTCTACTGTGTAAAAACATGTAAGATCAATATTGTAAACGGAAGTCTCCGTGTACCTTAATTGTTCTTGAGTCTTGTGGTGGCATCTTTTTTTCAGTCATGTGATTTTTCATTGTGAAAATAGTATAGATTACTTATTTAAAAATGTTTAAATAATGAGTATTTTTCACCTATATTAGGAATGAATGAAAAGTGATTTATGTCACCAAAGTCCCAACTGTGTGTGAAACAAAATGTATTGTAATCCTAAAATGAGATAAGTCAGTTGATTAGAAAGACTTTATACAAATCTTTTTTTAAATGTATTTTCTTTTATGCAATGAACTTCATGTACACTACATTTTTACAAGCTTTCTTGTTTTCACATGTAGTGGTTAATTATACATATATAATGGTTGTACTGTATAATGGTTTCCAAATAAAATAACTGCCATTACACATTGTTTGAACAACTGATTTCCTGGAAAGTGTGGTGTTTTCTAGATCAAAAGGTTCAAATTGCATTCAGTTTACTTTATAAAAGAAAAAAAAGGTGAAAAAGGTGGGATGTTGTGTATTTAGCGTTCATAAATAAAGGTTACTAACTGTCTTGGACACTTGTTTCAGTTCAGATTCATTTGTGTTATTCCCCACTGGATGGCACTGTTTCCCTCTTTGTTAGTTTAAGCCAGGGGGGGTCCAAACGTTTTTCACCTAGGGCCACACACAGAAACATATACGAAGGGCTGGGCCCCTAGAGGTATTTTGCCTCATAAGTTCGGTTCTAAGTTGGAAAAGTCAATCCAATGTACGTAAATTATTCTTGACACTTGAAAATGTTGTTAGAAGAAAACTGCCTACATCAGAGCTCTCCAGAGGGTTTCAGTTATGTTGTTAGTGTTACGGTGTGTGTGTAGGAAGCAGGACCCAAATGCAGATTAAAGTGACAAAAATAACTCCTTTATTTCAAGGCTATGCGATACAAAAAAAGACAAAACAGAACACTCACCGAATAACTAGTCATTGCACAAGACGAACCGACAAAGACAGACAGAAAAACCAGAACTTAAATACACACAAGACTAATCATACAAACAAGACACAGCTGAGGAGGGAGGAGAAAAACCAGGGACACCAGGTAAACACAATCGGGTAAATTAGAAACACCAGGGAAACTAACGACATGGAACCACAGACAGATTTAAACAAGACAAAACACATCGCAGACAGAAAACCAAAGACAGATCTAGACAAGACACAACGCAGACATAAAACCAAAGACAGATCTGGACAAGACACAACGCAGCCAGAAACAGGCAAGACAGGAGGTGAAGACCTTTCAAAATAAAACATGAAACAAAAGACAAG